TATCTATATATATATATATATATATATATATATTTGATGATTATGAAACATTTTCATGTATACTGATGATTATGAACCATTTTCTTCTATGATATGTATGTTATAACCATTTTCATCTATGATATGTATGTTATAATCTTTGTTACTGCAACACTCAAAATTGACAAACTTTTGAGTCAACACGATGTGACACTCCTAAACACAGGGGGGATACTTGTATGGGTGGCTGTCTGTCATCAAGGAAAAGTTCGGACACAGAGACAAAGTGTTCTAGCGCTTATGGAGGCAAAGTTCAGACACAGCAGAGACGAAGTGTCCTAGTTTATGGAGGCAAAACTTGCCCTAACAGGAGCAGAACTCATGAACTTTTGCTTTAAATCTAAATGCTCTACCACGAACGGTTATGAGCCCTAGATGACAATTTATTTAGAATTTAATTAGTAATATAAGTCTTTGATGCAAATTTGAATAAACAACGAAGAACTCAAAAACGTTTATGATAATTAGATTGAAAGTAGGCCATACCTTGGGAGTAGAAGTAAACAGTGTACTCCAGTGGGAGTATACTATCTTTGGGTTTAAAATACTATTTACACCACCTAAATATCTAAACAAAGTCAATGTACGAGAGCGCCATTACACACTGGTGTGAAACCCCCACCTCTCATGGGGGCCTCACAGACCTGCACCAGACGCTTCATCTTCAAAAACCGTAACACTAGACAGTTCACCTCCATGCTTCTCTCTGCAACTACCTCTAAAACACGTCCCACTCTTTGCAAAACCCAACAATTTCTTGACTCCATCAACGCTCTCTGTGACCAAGGCCATAACACTTCTGCAAGAAACAGATCATCAGGCCATTAAAAAGAGGTATCCAGCTTACTGTTGCCTTCTTCAAGCTTGTTCTGAATCAATGGCGGCCACCCTAGCCCAAAAGGTCGAAACCCACATGGCTAAAACCAGTTTTCCCCATTGCCTCTTCTTAAACAATAGAGTCATCAATATCTATTGTAAATCTGGTTATATTATAGAAGCTCGTAAAGTGTTCGATGAAATGTCTGAGAAAAACCTCTTCTCGTATAATACAATGATTCACGGATATTGTTGTTTTGGCCTGTTGGATGATGCACGCCAAGTTTTTGTTCAAATGCATAAGAAAAATCAGGTTTCATGGGCTATCATGATTGGTGGGTATGTGCGCCATGAATATGCATTTGAACCTCTTGAAATGTTTGTTGATATGAATCGAAGTGGACTTAAGCCTCATACAATTATTTTAGTTGCAGTCCTTCGTGCTTCAGTCGTGGCTGGGAGCTTAAACCATGGGTTCCAGATTCATGCTGTAGTGTTAAAGATTGGTGTTTTTATGGAAGAAATAGTGAGGAATACCTTGTTGGACGTATACTCAAAGCTTGGAGAAATGGAAGAAGCTTGGCATTGCTTCGAAGAGATGGGGAAGTTGGGTGTTGATGTCTCTTTTAATTCTTTGATTGCAGGTTATGCAAGGCTTGGAAAGGGGGAATTATCTCTGGTTTTATATGTTCAGTTTCTTAGAACTGGTCTGAGAATCTCTCAATTTACATTTGCCGGAGTTCTTAGTGCTTGTGCTGGAATTTCAGGCCTTGTTGAAGGCAAGCAAATTCATGCTCTGGTCTTCAAGACTGGTTTCGAGGGCCATTTTGTGGCCAATGCAGTTATGAACATGTATGCAAAATCAGGGGAGCTTGAAAGTTCTTGGAGAGTGTTTGTGGGCATGCATCACAGGGATAACATTTCATGGAATGGCTTGATCAGTGGGTATAGTAGAGAGGGCTTATCAGAGGAAGCTATGAATTTGTTCATAGAGATGTTGAAACATGGAGTTGCTCCCACCCACTTCACCTTTTCGAGCATTTTGAGCTTGTGTGCTAGTTTTGGTAGCTTGTTACTCGGTCTGCAGGTTCACTGCAAAACCATCCATTGTGGGCTCGAATCCGATGTATTTGTATCTAATGCTATCATTGATATGTATGCAAAATGTGGGTCATTAGAGTCAGCAATGTTTGTTTTCAATGAGAGGTCTAACCTCAACACCATCTCATGGACGGCCTTGATTGCTGGTTATGCACACAATGGGTACAATGAAGAAGCCATTAAACTCTTCACCCTTATGCTCAAATCAGATTTTAAACCAGACAATGGCACCTTCGCTAGTGTGCTCAGTTCCTGTGCGGGCCTAACTGCTCTTAATTATGGCAAACAGGTGCAAGTCCATGCAATAAAACTTGGTTTTGATTCAAATATATACACCGCAAATTCTCTAGTTGGTATGTATGCTAAATGTGGCGACATGAAAGAGGCATCGAAGCTCTTTAGTGCAATGCCCATTCGAAATTTGGTGACACGGAATGCCATTACAGCTGGCCACGCACATAATGGAGAGGGTGAGGAAGTGCTTGAACTATTCAGAACAATGGTAGAACAGGATGGCATTGCCCCTGACCATGTCACATATGTGAATGTGCTCCATGCATGTAGCCATGCAGGGATGGTAGAGGAAGGGTATTGGCACTTCAGGTCCATGAGTGAAGATTTTGGAATTACCCCTTACCCTGACCATTATGCATGCATGGTTGATCTACTAGGACGCTGTGGCCGGCTCGATGAGGCCGAGGAGTTTGTGGAGTCCATGCCTATTGAGCCTGATGGGGTAATATGGGGGGCCTTGTTGGGCGCCTGCCGAACCCATAGGCATGTTGAGCTAGCTGAACGAGCAGCGGAAAAGCTCTTTGCCATTGAGCCAATGAACCCTGTTGGCTATGATCTATTGGCTAATATATATTCAGCTTGTGGCCTATGGGAGGGGGTTGCAAGAGTGAGTAAGATGATGCACGAGAGGGGAGTGAAAAAGGGGACAGCTTGCTCTTGGGTCGAAGCCCAAATGGGGGTTCATGTTTTTGTGTCCAATGATCGGGTCCACCCAAGACTAAGAGAGATTCACGAGCAGCTTGAGGAGTTGGGAGAGGAAATGAGGAGATTTGGGCATGTTCCTGATAAGAGCTTTGTGTTGCAGCAATTGGAAGAAGAGCAAAAGGTGCCAGCTTTGAGCTATCATAGTGAAAAGTTGCCAGTGGCGTTTGGGCTTATTAGTATTGATGCTCCAGCACCCACTAGGGTTATGCAGAATCTGAGGGTCTGTGGGGATTGTCACAGTGCTATGAAGCTTATATCATGGATTGAAGGGAGAGATAATCCTCGGGAACTCCACCCGATTCCACCATTTCAATGATGGAATATGTTCTTGTGGGGACTATTGGTGAATGTGAAGAAAGTATGTCCATCCTCCCAAATTATGACTAAAGGGAAATAACCCAATGGAATATAGGAAAACCACAGTTCAATAGGGTTATCCCTCATCCCTTTGCAATAGAATGCTAGACAGTGATGGAGAGAGTGTAGGACACACCATTGTGGTTATGTCCTTTTTGTTGTGCCCAACTCTCTCCATCACCCTCCATATCACTGGATGGTGGGGATCCCAATGCACTATGGTTGTCCCACAGTCTACAGAGATTTTAGTGTGCTTCCATAAACTAGATATGTGTGATTTCTAGTGACAATTCTTTTCTGATTGAAATGCAAGATTTTTAGGACATTTATAGGCCAGATTCTGATGTTAATAGGCCTGCCAAGTGAAAGACTCAAATTAATTACTCCATAAAGTGTTCCAAAATACACAATGTTTATCTAGTATCATCTGATGACGGCGATTCCATTTCCTTTTTCCTATCATTACTGATATTGCCGGTGCTGCCATCGTCTTTTCTAATCCTTGTATACATCTTTCAAAACTCAAAACTAACAGATGACCATAATAAACTTTACTCGTCTAGAATATTACTGTAGTTTTCTTTTTAAAAGAGGGAATCTAATATGAATTTGTGCATGTTGGTAAAATACTACCTAGGCCAGACTGCAAAGAGCAGCTAGACCTTGAGAGAGGCCACTTGATCATCCAAACTGAATACTGCGAATTATCTAAAAAAGAACTTTGTATGAGAATCCTTCTCATACAAAGTTTGATAAGTACATATTTTTTTAGAGAAATGATCCTATAGGACCTTCCTCCACCCATGTGACCATTAAATTTGGCATGGATTTATAGAAAATTCAAGTCCTACACTCATGTGAAATTTTTTTAGAGATCCGTACCAATTTTAATAGTGATCCTTTGGGGTTTTACATACATGAATGGGAGAGGGTCTTATAGGATCATTAATTTTTTTTTTAATTTTTGTTTTCCTTTTGCTTTATGGAGAATAACATGAAATGGAAGTTAAGAGAGAGAAACCAATCCAAAAGCAAAACCAAAAAAAGAGAGAGGCCAGGGCATTGAGAGGAAACCATCCATACATATTTTCCAATTATTTAATATCTTTGTATCTATTCCCCGTATTGTTTCTCATGCTACTATTAATTTTCATTTTCTTTGATCTTCTCAATGCACTATTTTCCATCATTGCATCCTTGAATGCAATAAAAATGAGCAAATGTGCTATTATTTTCCCACTTGTTATAGTAATTCTAATTAAGTGTAAGTTAGTATTATTGTATGGTAAATGACATTGAATATTCAACTGCAACAGTATATTATGATAATAAAATGTTAGGGCGTGTTTGTTTGATGGCAGAACCGAATCTTCCGCCAAACAAGCATGCCATTCAAAGTCAAACTAGACAAGTAGAACATGACTGTACCCTACAAAGACCGTTCTACCTCTTTAGACAATGTCAATAGCCTCTTTCCTATTTATTTGTTGTTTATGTTGCTTTGTTTGTCTCTGTCATTGTGTTGTCTGCCGACATGGACTTTTTATGTCTACCTTCAAGTGTGTGTATGTGTGTGTGAGAGAGAGTATCATGGAAGACAAAAAAGCAAGAGAGAAAATTATGAAAGACCAAAAAGCAAGAGAAAGAGAGAGAGTATAATGAAAGAGAAAAAAGCGTGAGAGAGAGAGAGAGTATAATGAAAGACAAAAAGCACTTCCAAACTTACATATGTTGTGGCATGTTTCTGACCATCCAAAGAAATGTCCAAAAATGCCGCTGAATATTCTGGAAATTGTCTTAGTACGTGGATTGGCTTTGAATTTCTCTACATTCTAATCCAGTTGACATTTCCAATGCTTCTATTTTGTCTTAACTGAACTTGACATGGACTGATTTTTATAGAAGTGGCTACCCTCACTTTTCTCCAAAATCTTGCTTAATGTATGTTGTTGGTTCATCTTCTGTGAGAGACTCTTTTAAGTTTCGATCCAGGCTATAATCCTCATTTATCATCTTTTGTTTTCTCCTATTTCTTTTAAGAAATTCTTTTTATTAAGTCTGGGATAAGGAGGAGAGCCTGACCACAGTGCACGTCTGAGAAAATGAGCCGTCTCTACCTTCAGATACTCTTTTTCCAAGAATTGTTGCTGCTACTGTTACTTGAATCTTGTTATATTGCAAGCCAGATTTACTTTGTTTTCCCCCTCTTGTCTAAGTGTTCCTTTTTCTTTTTGCCTTTCACCTGTATGAGGTCTTTAAATGATTGATCTTTAGTTTTTATTTAAATATGTACATGTAACTTGTCAAAACAAATTTGTTTTGATATTTGTTTCTGGGTGCAGACTGTTATGACCCTTTGGATCCGAATGGGAATATAAAAATTACGTATGATACCATTTCATGGACCACTGACACCGATGGTTATAACAATTACAATCAGTAGGAGTTCCTTGTGATGCCGTTCAGATTAACCAATGCCCCTACTGCATTCATGGATCTAATGAATACAGTGTTCCGACGATTTCTAGATAACCTTAATTGATGATATTTTGGTATACTCAAAAAGCTAAGAGTTACATGAGCAGCATCTAAGATCTGTTTTACAAACTTTAAAGTAAAAAAAGTTGTATGCTAACTTTAGTAGTAAAAGTGAGTTTTGGCTTCCCAACGTAACCTTCCTGGGTCACATTATTTCCCATGATGGGATCGCGGTCGACCCCTCCAAGGTTGAAGCCATACTTAGATGGGAGACACCAGCAAATGTGACTGAAGTTCGTAGTCTTCTGGGGTTAACCAGATACTACAGGCACTTTGTTCCCCTAACTTAGCTAAGCAAGAAGAACATAAAATTCATATAGTCAGAAGATTGTGAGAGAAGTTTTCAAGAACTTAAAAAGAGTCTGACCACTGCCCAATCCTAGCATTTCTTGAAGGAAATGAAGACTTCGTGATTATACTGATGCATCTCATAAAGGGCTTGGGAGTGTACTAATGCAGAGAGGTAAGGTTATTGCTTATGCCTCTTGGCAATTAAAGCCGCACTAGCAAAACTACCCTACTCACGATTTGGAACTCGCGGCAGTAGTATTTGCACAAAAAATTTAGAGGCACTACCTCTATGGAGCCCAATTTAAGGTATTCATGGACCACAAGAGCCTTAAGTACCTATTTTCCCATAAAGAGTTGAATATGAGGCAAAAGAGATGGATGGACCTACTAAATGACTATGACTGCACAATCGAATACCATCCAGGTAAGACTAATATAGTAGCCGACGCCTTAGGCAGGAAAACCGTGGTCTCCATGGTACAATTGATGGAGCGAGAAATGAAGTTGTTGGAGGATGTAATGAATGCCACTCATCGCAACCTCTTGGTGAAGGGAGAGAAGTATTGTCATGTCTAAAGGTGGAGCCCCAACACTTCCAACGAGTCCAAGCGGCTTAGAAAGAATATCCCCACCTGATGAAAATCTTCGAAGAACAAAAAAGAAAAGAGGATTTTTCTTTAGGCTGCAATGGACTGTTAAGGTTTGAGGGTCGAGTATGTGTTCCCAATGATGAAAGTGTAAAAAGGGCCATTTTGAAGGAAGCACACCACTCTTGTTACATGATACATCCTGGGGGTACGAAGATGTACCAGCATTTGAAAACAACATTTTGGTGGAACAACATGAAGCGAGACGTGGCGCAATATGTGGTTAAATGTCTAATGTGCCAACAAGTGAAGGTCGAACATTAGAAACCTGCTGAATTATTACATCTGCTGCTCATACTAGAGTGGAAATGGGAATACATCGCAATGGATTTTGTCTCTAGGTTACCAAGATCTAGTGTAGGGCATGATAATATCTGGGTCGTGGTGGACTGACTAACTAAGGCTGCTCACTTCCTATTAGTTCGCATGACCTATACATTGGACAAGTTGACCCAGCTATACATCAGAGAAATTGTGAGACGTCATGGGATTCCTATCAACATTGTATCAGACAGAGATCCCAAGTTTACTTCTAGGGTTTGGGCAAGTTTACAATCAGCCCTGGGGATCGAGCTTACTTTTAGCACCGTCTTTCACCCCCAAACAGACGGGCAGTCAAAAAGGACCATCCAAACTTTGGAAGACATGTTGAGAGCATGTGTAATTAATGTTAGAGGAAGCTAGGAAGACCATCTACCCTTGGTAGAGTTTGCTTACAATAATAGCTTTCAAGCTAGCATCCAGATGGCGCCTTACGAGGCCTTGTATGGGAGGAAGTGCAGCTCGGCCATCTACTAGGAAGAAGTGCAGATCGCCCATCTGCTGGGAAGAAGTAGGTGAAGGGAATTATTAGGGCCTGAAATAGTTTAGCTAACCTCTAAAAGGATCTCCTTAATTCGAGAACAGCTCAAGGCAGCCCAAAGTCTGCAAAAGAGTTACACCGATAATCGCAAGAGAGACCTCGAGTTTGAAATAGGAGACCAGGTCTTCTTGAAGGTATCACCAACCAAGGGCGTTACGAGATTTGGTACGAAAGGGAAATTAAGCCCACGATTCATTGGGTCTTTTGAGATTCTGAAAAGGATTGGGGGCGTGGCATACCGACTTGCCCTGCCACCTGATTTGGCCAACCTCCATAATGTCTTCCATGTATCCCTGTTGAAGAAATATCAACCTGACCAGTCCCATGTTTTGGAGTGCGAACCAATCCCACTCAGGGAAGACCTAACCTATGTTGAACGATCGATTGGGATATTGGACTAGGAGTGCAAGTATTACGCAATAAGGAAATTCCTCTAGTCCGAGTACAATGACAATATCACTCAAAGGAAGAATCTGCATGGCAATAGGTGGAGAATGAACGAAATAGGGTAAAATAAATGGTTGAGAATGAATTGAAGTTTTTAAAGAAAGGGCTTTTTTTGCCACACTCGCAAGCTTATCCAATGAGATTTAAGTTGATTCATAAGTAAGTAACATGACGATGATGCATAGAATTTCCAGCAAAAGTTAAGGCTGTTGCTAGGTGCTTTTCACTAGCCAAGCGATGCCCACTTGGGCCCAAATCAGTATCAACGAAAGACGTACAGGTCTAGTTAAAGTTTGCCTCTTGCACCATGTTATAATATCATGAAAATCAAGAGATATAGCCGCTTATGCGAGATATGTCACTGCCATAGTTGCTGTAAAGCAATTGTGAACCTGTTTGGGCCGCATTTTCGACCAGGTGAGCGCTGCCTAAATGCTCCAAATCTGCCACCGATGTAAAGTTTTGCGAATGAACGTAAAGTTGCATGTTTTGAGATTCTCAAAATTCCCTATAAATGTTGAGTTATGTTTGAAAATGCATAGACACGTCATTACTCATTACTAGTGCTCATTGAGGCCGCACCTTGATCTTGT